TCGCCAACGTTAAACAGTCCCGTCTTGGGCTTCTTGGGTCGGCTGAATCGTGCGTGAGTCCGACAAGATGTTGGAAGGGCGAAGGTCCCCCCACCTGTCGTCGCTGTCACTGGAGCTGTCATCGTCCTCGGCGTCGTGGGGCATCATGTACTGCCGCGATGGTCGCTTGGGCACGATGCCAATGCGTGGCGAGAGGCATGCCAAGTCGAGATTCCATTGCCTACACGCCAACAACAGGGCTCAATCTCGCGACGGCATGATGGGATTACCGCTGCGTAGGCGACACTTCCTCGGGCATGTCGTCCAGCACGAGAATGTCGACTTGATGCTGCTGCTGCTTGCCAGTCGATCGTTGTCGCGGATCTTTGCGAGATGGTGGCGGCAGTGTCGGCGACACTTCCACAAATGCTTCCTTGACACTCAGACGGGTGGACGTCGTGCTTGGGATGTCGGCCTTGAATGTAGCGCCACCGACGTGCAAGGTGTCTGCCGTGCCGCCGACCGTGCTTTCGAGTTTCCAAGCCTTGAGCTCGTGCAAGATCGAGTCTCTGGACTTGGAACTGAGGCGGCAGGTCAAATCGAGCTCGGACGCGCGGTCTAGCGTGTCCGTGATGGACTCTCGATGGAGGGGAGTCGAGGGCCGCGGGGGAAACGACGACGCTGGCGTCGCTGGACGGATGTTGTTGGATGCCGCTACGTCGTCAACGTCGACGTGGAAGTGCTCGTGGCTGCGGCGACGAAGGGCGCTGGTCACGTTTCCAGCAAACACAACGTCCGTGCCGTGCGTCAACTCGCTCGAGTGGTGATCTTTCACTCGTGGCGTCGCGGCCGCCGCCTGCGCGCATTGTGTCATGCCACCACCACGTGTACTCGAACCAAACAGTACCGAAAGCTGCTCAATCGACGTCGTGCTCGGCGAGTCAAACAAAGTCTTTGGCTAGGTGAAGCTCGCGATAAACCTTTCATTCATCTAGCTTGAGAAGCACCTTGACGCTGTCGCATCGCTGCAGGACGGCCGCCGCGGGATGCACATAACTCAAGGCTTGATCGATCATCGCAGGGGTCACCTGGACACATCGCTCCACATTAAGCCGACGTGTAGAGAGCCATGTCACCAACCCACCTCGATGCGGTCGCTGGCAGTGACGGACGTGCTGTCTAGCGTTTGCAATTGCGGCATGTAGCTGCACACGATGAGGCGGTACTGAGGAATGTTCGCGACGGGGTTGTCGGTCAAGTTGAGCGAAGCCAGCTGCACGCACATGCCTACAGAAGCGCCACGTCATGCATCGATCTGGTGGCCTGTACGTGCCAAGCTGTTCGATTTGCACAATGTCGTCCACGGCGTTCCCTTCCAAGTCTAGTTGATTGCAGCGTAAGAATCGACAAACAGCGCCAGTCATGTCCTCACCGACGACGTGAAGCGCGTCGTGCATGCTAAGCGGGCTCACGTCCGAGATTTCGTTGAACTGGAGGTAGAGTTCGCGAAGTCCCGTGAGGGCTCCGATGCCGTCGAGGTCCTTGACGCCGCTTCGCATGAGCCACAGCACCTGGAGCGAGTGGAGCGACGTCCCGAGGTCACGGAAGCTGTGGAGCACGCTCTCGTGTAGCCGAAGCTGTGTGAGTGACGGCAGGAGCACTCCCAGCGCTTCGACCGACTGTTTGTGTGTGTCAACAGTGAGTTGGAGGTACGTGACTCGACTCAGGTCCTGCTTGCCGCTGAGGAGTCGCTACAATGGTCACGTCATCGTGAGCCCATGACGGTAACGACTAGCGACGTACTAGCTTTGCGTCGGTGAGGTCGTCGAAAGGATTGTCGTTGTCATGTGTTGGGACAATCGGGCCACCCCGCGAAGGCGGCCGGTCCACCGCCGGCATCGGGTTGCATCCCTTTGGCAGCGTTCGAATGATCAACTTCTGCATGCTGTTAGACCGAACGGGGGCCGCGGTGTCGTCGATTTCTTCGCGCGCGTCTCCATCGCACTCCATGGCACCCACCAACTCGATACAACACGACCGCGGCGGCGATGTATTATTAGGCATGCACGTGAAACAACTCGAGTAACGCCCACCCATCCACAAACTCGGGGCCACCCCTTCGATAGCTTGAGCGATCTAGAGAGTATGTTCCCATTGACAAACCGCCTTGCGTGTGCTCCTCCACTGGCGTCGCGGCCGCCACAGCACCAACCATGCACGTGCATCACTGAGTAGGGACAGTGCCGCCACCCCGTGACGGCATATCCAAGATGAATCGGCAGCAGCATATTCCTCATGAGCTCGTCTTGAGCATGTTAGGTGCCTTCGCGCGAAGCATGCATGTCGGCGCGATTTTGTGTTCGTGAAGAGGATTCCATCCCAAGGAACCTGTCCACCTGTAACTTCCACTCCAGTAGTAGATACTAGTAATCGACATGATGAGTACTACTAGGAAGTTGTTCGCGCACATTCATAAAAACGACCGAAGTTTCACGGATTTGACGAAATTGCTGAAAATATGGGTGAATTCGACCCGACATCACCGAATCTTGACGGCGACCATTCCTTTATCCGGAACGACCATTTAGACTTGACTTGAGTATGAGATCGCTATCACTTTCCGAATAGTACAGCCCACATGTGTATTTGAAAATGACACGCACGACGACGGCGGCAAGTGGGCGATACCAGACCGTCGGCGCCGCGGCCGACGAGAAGACGGCGAACCCAGCATCTCATGCGGGTGTGTTCTCCAAGGTGTTCTTTTCTTGGGCCAACGCACTCATGACCAAGGCGAACACACCAGCTGGAATCACCTCGGATGACTTGTGGGCTCTCCCGCCACCGTCATCGGCCCAACAAGCATTCGCCAAGTTCGACCCGAGCTTTCGCCAGACACGGTCGATTGTGACGTCGTACTTGTCGATCTTTGGGTGGAGATTTCTATTCATTGGTGTGCTGCAGGTGCTCATTGTCGCGGGCACGTTGTACGGCCCCGTGGTGCTGCAGCTCGTTATGGAGCTCGTGGAATCGCGATTCGACATGCATCGCGCCATCCTATACGTCGGATCGCTCTTTGTCGTGAAGCTCCTTCAAGCGCTCATCTGCACGCATACGACGTTCCAGAGCGACGTGATCGCGCACCGCTTCACGTCGTCGCTCCAACAACTCGTGTTTCAAAAGGTGCTTGTCCTGGACGCCAAGTCGCGCCGCGACAAAACAGACATCGCGTCGCTCTTTACGAGCGACATCATGTGGATCGTGAGCTTTTCAAACTACACCCATCAAGTTTGGATCATTCCTGTGCAATTGGGTCTCGTCCTGTACTTGCTGTACAACGTCCTCGGGTACGCCGCGTTTGTCGGTGCCGGCATCATTGTCGTCACGCTCGTGTTGAACAACGGTCTGGCACATGCCCAGCGCGGCCTTTGGCGGTCGCTCATGGTGCTCAAGGACAAGCGCATGAAGGTTCTCGAGGCTGCATTTAGCACGATTGTCGACCAAAAGGTCGAGACAGTCGCGGATCGACAGAAACTGCTCCCGGACATTCAAGCTCACCGCGAAAAGGAACTCGGTGCGTTGTGGGGAGCGTTCAGCTTGTCTGCGGTCGTCACCGCCATCCTGTACACGGCACCAATCCTCGTCACGACGGCGTCGCTCGCATTCTACACGCTCGTGCTGCACCAGCCGATCACTGCAACCAAAGTGTTTACATCGCTCGCGCTGTTTCGGTCCCTGCGGGCGCCGCTCATCGGGCTGCCGCAGATCACGGCCCATTTCATGCAGGTGCGTGTTCCGCCAACCGACCACACGTGCAGGCCGCAGCGCAACTGCTGTCGACGCATGCAAGTGTGCCTCCGCGCCATCGTCGCGTCGCGATGGAAAACATGGCGGGCTCATGTGTCGATACATGTTCATAGGCCCTTGTCGCCTTGCGTCGGCTGCGCGACTTTTTGAACTTGACGGAGAAGGACCCGAACCTGGTACTCACGCCCAACCAGCTCACTGCCGTTCAATACGAGCAGTATGCCACCAACAACGTTGATATTGCGATCGAAGACGGTGCGACGATGGTCGTCGCTCGGCTCGACGCTGTAACATGAACGGGTGTCTAGGCTCGTTTGGGTGGGATGCCGACAAGCCAATGTTTCGCGGACTCAACTTGCAAGTCAAGCGCGCGGAGGTGGTCATTTTGCATGGCGACGACAAATCGGGCAAGACGTCGCTGTGCAATGTCATTTTGGGCGAGCTGGAAAAGTACGAAGGCAGCGTGTTCGTGGGGGGCCGCGTCGCGTACTGCTCGGAAGACCCATGGTTGCAGCGCTTGACGATTCGCGACAACATTTTGTTTGGTACGCACGCCATCACGCTTCCCAACACGACCTTGGCGTATGGTAGGCAAGCCATACGACCGCGCGCGGTACAACTTGGTGCTGGAAGCGTGCGGGCTGCGTGTGCTGGAAGACGGATTTCCGTTTGGCGACCGCACCGTCGTCGACGGGACGAAATTGTCCAGGGCCGATCGAATCCGAGTCGCCCTCGCTCGCGCGTGCTACAGTGACGCTGACATTTACGTGTTGGACATTGCAATCGACGAAACAACGTTCCAGTCGTGTGTGTTGGGCCTGCTTCGCCACAAGACGGTCGTGTTGGTGTCGGAAGATCCGGCCGTGATCGAGTCGCCGTGCATCGACAAGCGCTTCGACGTGGGGAAGATCGTTGCTGTTGAAAACAAGGCCAAGGCCAAGTTGCACGGGCACTTGGTCGATGCTTTGCCCAGTACGTCGTCTCTCGTATGATTCCGCGTGTCGAGGGGATTTCAAACGGACCTTCATCCCCCAGGTCGCAAGCGGTTCTGGGAAGAGGAAGCGCACATTCTGGAACAGGACGTGCCGAGTTTGCACCCCCAGGTGTGGTGCGACAACTTGATTTCGCCGTCGATGCGGTCGCCGTACGGGATGCTCCAGGAGGAGCCGCGCTTCGTGGTCGACGAGGTACGTACCGCGCCGCCGCCACACGGACAACTTGAGACCCTGTGACGCTAGCTTCCCGTGCCAGAATTCCTTCAAGAAGATGGCGACGCCCGCGTGGCGACCAACGAAGCGTTCCGCGGCTACGTCCAAGCGGCGGGGTGGTCGTTTGTGGTCGTGCTTGTGCTAGTCCAGGGTCTGTGGCAGTGCGTGCAGGTCATCAGCGACCTCTGGCTCAGCCACTGGTGCACGACGTCGAGTTTGAAAATGTGGAGCAACAACACGATTTACGTCAACGGAACGATCGTGCTGGCGCGTCGCAACGCGACCGTCCACACCGACGACACGATCGTTGTGTCGGATGCCATGGTGAACGCCTACTCGAAGTGGAACATGCACGTGTATGCGGCGCTGGCCTTCGTGTGCATGGCCATGGTGGTCGTGCGGACTCTTCTCACGTCGTGTGCAGGTACTGGACTGGTGCGACTCCCACCTGCGCTAACCCTCGCCACGTAGGCATCCGTGCGTCGAGGAGGCTGTTTGACGATATGACGACAACGCTCGTGAGTGCCCCGCTGTCGGAGCTTTCCCCCGAGTACTTTGGCCGCATCCTGAACGTTTACAATGCCGACATCAACACGATCGACACGCGGCTCCCGTTTGCATTGGGCGGGTTCCTCGCCAACGCGTTCATCGCGGCCTTTTGTCTCGGGGCATGCGTTGTGTGCCTGCGGTTCTACGGCGCCGTTGTCATGGTGTGCGTGATCTTGTATGTGTATTTTGGCACGTTGTATGCGCGGCCAGCCCAAGCGATCGAAACCCTCGTCAAGGAGACCCGGGCGCCGCACTTGCAATTTGTCAAAGAAGCCGCCGACGGTGCAGTCGTCATCCGCGCGTTCGGCGCCAAGCAAGTGCGCCGCTTCCATCGCGTGCACAAGGTGCACGTGGACATGCACCAGGAAGCGAGCTACACGCAGCAAGTGTTTGCGCAGTGGTTTGCCTTGCGTATGCAACTCCTCCACGCGTGCTTGATCTTGACCATTACGCTCGCCACCGTGCTGTCCAAGTCGTCGCTCACGCCCGGGCTGTTTGGGCTCGTTTTCAACTACGCGCTTCAAGTGCCGCCCCACGTCGAATTTGTCTTTAGCATTTGGTCGGGAGTCCTCACGTCGATGGCGGGCGTCCACCGCGTCCTCGACTACGTGCACAGCCGTCGCAAGATCGCGTACGTCTAGATAGATGGTAGCTTCATCCTTCACTGCCCAACAACGTTGTCATGAAGAGGAGGCATTGAGATGGTTGGTTTACAACCCAAGTCGACTTTTTTTGTATTTTTCCACGGTGTCGAGGTCGGGCGCCACCGCCGTCATGTCGCAGGTCTTTTTGTGGCTGTCGCTCGTCCCAGGACGGTCCTCTTGCATGCACGACCGGTTGTAAATTATGGTCCCTCGCCCTCGTGATGCCGGTGCGAGTGCCGCTGCTTCCATGACGTTGGAATCCTTTGAATCGTGGGGCAGCACTTCCGCCACACAGTAGCTCGAGACGCGGACACAGCGGCGCGGTCTCCTATTCCCATGTGGATGCTTGCTAAAAATAAAACTGCAGATGCCCGCCTCCGCTCCTTGTGGAGATCGAAAAGTTGCCATGACGTCGGAGAAGGACCACGCCATCGATGCGCTCAAGGCTGGCATGGTCAAGTTGAGGGCCGAGATAGCGTTGCAGGTACGAAGGACCTTGTTGCCCCGTCGTGTGCCGGTCGACGATTGAGTTGCGCTGTCTTTTTCAGAACGAAGCGATGAAGCAGCTGAAGTGCGCGAACCAGCAGCTACAACACAAACTCAAACAGAGCGAGAAAGATGTATGTTCTTCGCGTCAATGGAACTCGATGACCAAGGTCAAGCTAGTTTCATGCCGTGGTGGCCGCCCTGTGCGAACGCGACCGTGGCGTAGGATTCACAAAACGAAGCGAGGTCAAGCACGATGTGCTGCACAACCTGCTCGTCAAGGTCAGTGCTTGATGGCCGTACCTTGTCGAGGATGACGACGTAGCCGCAGAACAAGCACGCCGAACAAGTCGCCGAGTGCTTGAGGAAGGAGCTCGATACCGTCAAGTTCAACGCGTACGCGCGCGGTCCCTCGTTTGGCCTTCTAACATCACCACCAGGAAAACCCTGCGATTGCAAGAGCTGCAAGTGGAATGTTGCGAACACTTTTCCGAGATCGTGTTCTTGCGAGAGAAGGTCGCTACGCTGCTCAACTCGACGCAGTGCGTGTCCTTGGATGGATCTCGCCACCCGTCGCGTCATGCCAACCCACCTAGATGGAGCTCTTCCGTCGAGCACGATGACAGAGACCCCACTGGGGTAATTCCGGACTGTAGTCCGTGCTACAACCCACTCACCACCTCCTACAGTGTCGAAGAGCAGCCAGCTTCTATGTCGCAACGAGTCCCGCCATCGAACTCTCCAACAACACACGCAACCTCCACGACAGTCGGCCGTCCGTCGACAAGCTGAAGCCGTCGGGATCTTCCTCAAATGACGGCGACAGCAAAGGCGACACTGCGCAGACGTCTTGAAGAGCCATGTTGCAGCCTCCCCCTGGCAATTCGATCCATGCCCCGCACAACCATCAGCATCCAAAGGACGTGAATTTCGATCCGTTGCACGTTTTGCAAACGATTGCCTTGGCATCCCAACCCACCCGCTCGCCGTGCTCCGTGATGATCCAGTCGATTTATATTAGTCAGACCCGTGTGAAGAAGAGGGATGATGGTGTGAGAGGACTTTACTCGTCGTCTTTCTCTTCGTCGTCGGTCTCGCGTCCTTCTTGGACTCGAATCGTCAACTCGTTTTCGAGATCTGCCCCCATGTACGAGTCGCAGATGAGGTACAGCGTGTACTTGAACGTTCCGGTCGTGGATGGCGCGGTAAAGTCGAGCGAGAGCGACGCTTGCTTTTGGAGAGGAATGCGCTTGATGCTCAAAAGCGTGTTGGCCGCGGGGTCTCCGATCACGACCCACCAATTCTCAACCTTTTCCACCGGACTGTGCTGCGAAATGACCGCGCCCCAGTCGTCCCTGTCGTCGTCGCCTTCGCGCTCGACTTGAACCTGCACGACTTGTCAAGTCCGCCACCAAGATTACAACATACCTGCACCGACACGGCATCGCCCGTCGTGATGTCGTCAGCGTTCTGAACGTCGATGTCGATCGACACGTCCGGGTACGAGTTGCAAAACGACGCGATTTGCGCCATCTTGCTCGGCGAAAACGTGAGCAGCTTCGACCGGACGCTGTCGTCGACGCTTAAAATGTCCAGAGGGGTTTCGATGACATCTTGGTCATCGTCGCATGCCGAGTTGTGCGCCTTGATCGTGTCGACGACGGCTGGCGTGAAGTGCGGGATCTGCAGCAGCGGCGACGCATTCAGACCGACGCCTTGCGTGATCATCTGACTCAGATCCATTGTCGCCAACGCAGGCTTCAACCACCCGTTGGACGAAATGACATCGACCAACGCGTGCAAGAGGCGGCCGCAAAGCTTGAGAATTTCGTTCAAGTCTTGCTTCAAGTACGGCGACAGGCGGTCGTGCTGGCGACTAAAGTGAATTTGGAGCAGGATGTGCACTTTGACGTGGATCGCAGTGTATGGGGGCGACACGGGCCAGAGCAAGTGCTTGGCCAGCTTTTCCAACACGCGGTCTTCGCCAAAACGAACGGACAGCGCGTCAAACTCGGACGACGCCGCCAACATATCGAGCAACGCCTGAAAGGGTTGTTTCAGTAAGCCCGAGTTGACAGCTCTGAAAATACCTTGAGTTTGGACGTAGCCGTCACGCTGCACGCAAACAGCTCGATCGTGGTGTACCGAATGTAGTAGAAGGCAGCAATCATGCCCAAGTTCATCGGACTCAAGTCGAGTTCGTCGGCGACGGCAATACATCGCGAGTCGCTCAAACTGGTGACGGTGCGCTCGACCAAGTCACTCAAATGGTCGCTCAGATGCACGTTCGTGCTGCCGTGCATCTGGTAGTAGTTTGGATTCTTCATCAAACGACGGTACATCAGTGTCCACGTCAAGTAGTCGACAGCGTCCTGTTTGGACTCGATCGTCTTGGTCACAATTTCAGCGTTGATATGGTCGCTCAAAAAGAACTCCAGCTGCGACTCAACGGGCAGAGGGTCATACAGCGTCTTGGTGTAGAATCTAGTAGAAACAAACTTCAGCATGTACGATGACATGGACTGGTGTACCTCTTCTTCGACGAATGGCACAGCACGGAGACCTTGGCGTTGTGGTCCATCAATGGACGGTTCGCAAGCGACGTCATGTGGTGAATGTCCGCCAGGGGGTAATCCACATATCTATCGATATTCGATAGGATGAGTTATACAAGAAATCCAAAAACAATACCTGTGCTCTTTGCCGTCGTAGTACTGGGTGCCCATAATGATGACCAAGTACGCCTTGACTTGCAAATCCCACGCGAGGGTATGTGGGACCAAAAGAATTTGAATCTTGTTCGATTCGAAGAGGTCCAACACGTAGTCCCGGTTAGGTCGTCGCATGGTTTCCGACAAGTAGCCCACGCCAGCAGTCAGCGTGTGAGCAAGCGCTTCGTCGTCGTGTGGCAGCTGCACGTGCAACGTTTCGTCGAGCAAAAATTTGGTCGGTGTGTTTTCGGCCAGCGCAAACGTGATGAGGTCGATGGCAGACAACTGCGCTTGCTTGCTGGACGGACAAAACACGATCGTGGGCTTTTGTTGGGACTGGTGGCACACCGTGTTGTACACTGGCTTGGCCATTGCGAGCATGCGCGAGGCAAAGTGATTTATTTCAAATCCTTGGACTCGAATCTCGAGTGGCAACGGACGGTTGTTCGGGTGGAAGTTGAAGCATACGTCGACCCCCAGCCAGTCCCCGACGTCCTACCCAACAGCGTCACCATGCATGGAAACTGCATCTACACAACCCAACAACACGTACCTTGGCGTTGGCGAGCGAGTTGCCCAGGCCGAGGATGCGAATCGGCGTCTTGACTTGACTCGAAATAAAGCGCATCCTGGACGCAATGATTTCAATCGTAGGACCTACTCACGCGCATTTGAATTCGTCCATGCAAAGCACCACGATCTAGGATAGCGAGGATAGACATACCGTACTCCCCGCCCCCCACAAAGTGGAGCTGGTCCAGTACAAACAACTGCACGTGTTGAATGCGCGCGCGCTTTTTCCATCGTCGACTGAGCACATCCCATTGTTCTGGAGTGGACACCACAACTTGCGATGTTTGAATGGCTTTCACGTCGGCCGTCGCGTCGCCCGTGAGACGGACGACATCAAGCCCAAACACGCTATCTTGTCCAAACTTGGCGGTCCAGTTGGCGTGCTGAGCGGCAACGAGCGAAGCCTTCGGGGCGATGTAGACACAAAATACATTTTCCAGGTTGTCGAAGTGTTCCAGACACAGCGTCAATAGCGCAATGTCGGCAAGCACCCCTTTGCCGCTGCCAGGCGCAGCGCACACCAACACGTTGGAAGTCGTGTTTTCGAGCAATTTGGGCAAAATTTGCGTTTGAATCGGATTGAACTTTTGGAACGCCCATGGAAACGGGCCTTGGGCGAGGCAACCATCCAGCAGCTTGGATACCATCGACGTGTCCTTGAGACCGGCCTGTACACAAGCCTTGGCAAGAACAGCCTTGACCGAGAGGGGCTGCAAGTCCAGAAGTTCCGTGGGGGGAGCGTTCTTGGTCGGCAAGATGAGGTCTTGGAACGATATAGGAAGCGTTGTTTCACAGTGCAGCCACTTGTCTGAGACCACACGGAGGTAGTAGAGCGGCGCCAGTGGCTCGAAGAGGGGGATGGTAAAGCTCAAGTACGTTTCTTCCTTGGCATAGCGACGCTGGAGCATGAGATACTCGTGATGGATAAGCGATTCCCCGTCGACATCTGTGATGAGCACCCAAAAGCCCTCGCTGTTGGTTTGCATTTGAAAGTCTGGAGTGAAGCTCAAGTCGACCTTGAGTAGGCTGCGGGTGATCGGCTGCACGGATGCCGACACTTCAAGCTTCGGGAACTGATGCAACAGAGTGTACAGTTCCTTGCCCATTTTAGGCACTCCAATCAACTGGCCGAGATCGGCCATCGACAGATCAAAATACCGGTCAAACGGGATGTCTTTCTTCTCGAGTTTGCGGCACATGGCATCCGACAGCGCCGGGAACTGGCGCAATGGTGTGTGGCTCAGCCACATGCGATGGTCCACCATCTTGCAGATCGTCAAAACTTTTTCCGCCAACAAGGCCCAGCCGCGATGCAGACAGATCTCAAACAGCGCACGCCAGATACGCGCGGCCGACTGGTGAATGTGCACCATGTCCGCAAGGAGTGCAAACCCGTTCAAACTGAGACGACTAATGTACGCTTGGAGGAGGACATTGACCTTGGCACTGCCACTGTTGCTCGCTCGAACGTTCACGTTTAGTGCTTCCTTGACTGGAATTGGGACGCGTTCGAGGAGTTTTTCTAGTTCCAGACGCTCCTCGGACCGCACCATCACGTACTTGAACTCGTGAGACAGCGAAAACAATCGAAACAGCTCAATGTCCGACATGTGTGGCTTCAAGTACTCGTTGTACGTGCTCATTGAGTCATGGGCGATGTAGTAATGCGACGCAACCTACGCAGCCCAAAATCCGTGTCACAAACGCTCGTCAAGGTCTCCGATACACAGATAGATGCATGTGTACCTTCCCCAGCGACGTCACTTGGAAGTGACCCGTCTTGCGCTCGTACTTGATCAAGTTGTTCTTTGCCAGCAACGTGGCCGCAGCGTGACACAAATCCACGCGACGCTGGAACAGAGTCGGGTCGTTTTGCGCTTCTTCGACCGAAATGCCGTACAGCGTAGGCGCACGAAGCATGCGAACGTAGAGGTACGTGTACCCGAGCCACGTGGCAGCTTGGTGAAGATTCTGCACTGTGCCGAGGACGATTTCAGCATTCATCAGGTCGGCCAACCGCGACATCATTTGGCTTTCGACAGGCAGCTGTTGGTTCATCAAACTCAGGTAGTAATTCAGTTGGGCGTGCTGCGTCAAGATGATGCCTTCGCCCTGGGTGTCGTATTGAATACGCCCGGCTCGCCCAAGCATTTGCAAAATGTCCAACGCGCTCAATTCGACCCAGTCCGACTTTTCCGCCGAGTACATTTGCGTCCCCTTGATGATGACCGTGTGAGCGGGCAAGTTGACACCCCATGCCAACGTTGACGTGCAGCAAAGCACGCGGACATGGCCGTCCGCAAACAAGGCTTCCACCAACGAACGGTCCTCGCGTTTCATCCCGGCATGATGGACGCCAAACCCAAATGGAAGAATCTCCTTCAACCCGTCGTTGTGGACATTTGTCGTCGCTTCCGTTTGGAGAATCTACGCGTACCAACCCGTGAGATTCGTGCCCAACTTGGTGAATAACATCGACAATTGAAACAAAGAATTCTCGAAGAAGAGCGCAGCCTCCAGCAATTCAAGTCACTCCACATACTACCCATTCACCGTCCGGTCGGCAACTCCATCGTTCGTCCTTTCGCCAAACGAAGGACCAAGTTCGGGAAAAATCCAATAAAATTCAAACGTAAAGGCATGCCGTTACCTCGGAGGATGCGGAATTGGGCTTCAAGAGTTCGCTCAACGTGTCGTTTTCAACACACAAATCACGAATTGCTTTGGCCGTGGCGACGGTCTCTTTTCGTGAATGTACAAAAATGAGCACTTGGTTGTCGTGCTTGGCTTGTTCGAGGATTTTTTCATAGCAAATTTCGTTCATCATTTGATGACGCTTCATCGCTTTCTTTTCCATGATGCCAATGTACTGCTGCTGCAAGGGCACCGGGCGATATGTCGAGTCAAACTCGAACAAGCCTTTGTCGGGGTTTACGCGCAGGAACGCCGCGACGTCCTGAAAGTTGGGCAGCGTTGCTGACAACCCGACCAGGCGCACCATTTGTTGCGTGCTTTCAACTTGACGGATCGTTCTACGAAGCAACGAAGCCATGAGCGGGACGCTCAACGAGAATGGTAGCGTACCTGGCCACAAGCGCTTCCAAGACTGGTCCGCGGGTATCATGAAGCAAGTGGATTTCATCGATGATAATCAAGCGAACCAGTTGCGTGTACGTTCGATCGTCGCCGGATTTGCGCGTGATAATGTCCCATTTTTCGGGTGTTGTGACGATGATCTGAGTGTTAAAGAGTTCTTCCCGGCTCAGGTTTTGATCCCCACTGAGTTCGCGAACTTGTAGGCCGTACGCCGCCGTGAGCCGTTGCGTCAAGTTGCTCACAACTTCCTGAACCAGCGCCTTCATCGGCGCCACATACACGATTTTAAAACTGTCCAGGTCAATCGACCCGTCGTCTTGCAGCGCCTTGGCCATCTCATGGAGGATCGTAAGCATGGCAACATTCGTCTTCCCGGCACCGGTCGGGGCACACAGTAATAGGTTCTCGCCAGACTCGAACGCGGCCGGGTACATCCTCGATTGAACGCGGTTGAGGGACTCCATCTTGGCAAATGCGGCATGGGTCCACGATGGCAGCGAGCTGATTTTTTTGCGCTTCTTCTCTTCATCGGCAGCCGTTTTCGCTCGGACGGCTGGGACGTGGTACTCTTCGTATCTGTAAGAGCACCGATGCATGATGAGACACGTGTGTCCATCCTATCGGCCTACTGAACGCACCCCTTCTTTTGGGCACGCCACGTGCCCTCCGGCAACGACAACTCCTTGTTGCTCATGAAGTGACTACCCTCGGCAAATACGAGCGAATCGATGCTCAGGTTGTGGAGAGGTCTGGCCGTCGACACGGACACCGCCACATCGCCGTCGTTTCCCGTGTCAACGTCTTGTTGTTGCATACGCTTCAGTTGCTTAGCCTCCGTGCGAGCGCCCGTTTCTAACGCCCCAATACGCGCTTGCATCCACCCTTCTGCGGTCGTCGTTTGCGACAGCGTTTGCAAGATTGTCCGGCCGACGGGGTCTTGTTGCATTTCGTTCTACTCATCAACCATTGGAGGGGGTCGTGCTTTGTTTAGCCATTCAAGGACGCAAACATCAAGCCGCACTTGGCCGATTCGCCACATCCAAGGACAGCAGAGGCACGTACTTCGATGGCGACGCGTTCGGCGTCCGACTGCGCCTGCTTCAGTCGCGTGCAAAACACGACCTTGGCACGATTGACCAGCAGCACCTTGATAAATTCAAACTTGTCATAGTCAAGAAGTAGCACGAGCTTGTTTTCGCAGTGGCCAAGCTCGGATGGCTCGCTCAGCACATTCAGCACTTCTTCCGACAGTCGGTCCGACACTTCTGCATCTTTGTACCACTTGCTCAGCTCGCGCTGGAGCCAAAACGCGTCAATTTCGTGGACGTTTAACCCGCCGTCCTCGCCCTCGTCATCGTCCATGGTCCCGTCGTTCACGCGCATACCTTCGCGCACTGGCTCGTCACCCTACACAACGCATTTCTGTAAGGGATGCAGACTGCATGAGACACATCGTCATGCAGAATAACGTACGTCGTCGTCGTCGTCATCACTCTCGTCACGGATTTCGTCGTTGTCCGAGCCTTCCTCTTCGTCGTCACCATCAAATACAACGGCAACGCCCATCTCCTTGTCCATGCCGTCACCACCTTCTTCGGGTCCCGCTTCAAGAGTGTCTGGAACGTTAGTTCGAAAATCTGTCATGCGCTTTGCCATCTCGACGACTTGGCTGAATTCGTGGGAGGGTATTCCCTGCAGTAGCTTTGCAGTTTCGCGAAACTTTTCGTCGTCGCGGTAGTCTTCGCTCTTGACAATCTGTAAGATCTCTTCCGCAGCATCCGCCATGATCTCGGACGGCTGATCGCCCAAGTACTTTTTCATCACTTGTAGCAGCTCCTCGTACGCCACACGACTCACATCCGTTGACGGGACGTAACTGAACGATTCCTCGGTGCGCTTTAGGATGCTCTTGTGGCCCCCGATAAGGACCTTCTTGACCGACGCAGTTTCACCTTCGCCCAACTCGTTTTGCTTGCGCTTCTTCGACCCCGACTTCAACTTGGGCGCTTCTGCTCGCTGGGCCAGGTCCCCCATGCGGTATGTGATCTTTCCGACCAAAGACTCGACTTCTCCTGTCGGTTCGTCCTTTCGGCGGCGGCGGTCATCCCGATCTGCCTGTAGCACCAAGCTCGAGTTGTTCGTGTAGGCATACTGCCGGCCGCGCGCTGCCTCTTCTGCCATATCCAACTCGCGGAACGGTCCTTGTGTGGTGGGGGTAAACCAAATCGTATCCGGAATTATGAAACTTGTCCGGATAATCGCGAACCTGCCCCTTCTTTTCCACATCAGAACTTTTGACGCAATTTCCATCATATGTGACTAAATTCGCAATAAGTTTTGCATGGAGCACATACCCCCAAGGTAGCGAGGCACGTCCACACTAAATCGTTTGCACCAGCACGACACGACGCTTCATGGTCCATTTCGTCACAGGTGAGACGCTATACTTGTAAGAATGAAAGAGCATCGTGAAAACCAGATTTGCGGATAACTTTATTGGTCGAATAAAATAGAGAATAAATTGTGATTGGCTGGAAAACAACCAAGAAATAGAGCGAGTTGAAGAGAAAGATATCTCCCATGTCGTCAAAGGACGTGGTGGGGGCAACGAAGGACCTGCTGAAGCTGCCGCCAGAAGAGTTCCTCCGTGAGAAGCAGCGTCAAGATCGAGAAATGTGGAGCTAACACTCATGGTCGTTCACGTAGATCGGACGAAAGCCACCAATGTCATGCAAGACGCTGTCAACTTGGTGCTGGAGTACCGACCTGAACAGCCTTTGACGTTTCTGGCGAAATAGTACGTGAGACTGTCCATGCTTCGGTCACGTAACGTGGACGCAGCTTTCAGATGATGTGTGGCGATTTGAGCCCGGTCGAGATTAGTGCCTTCTACATTCAGTCGTGTGGGACTGTCTCGAACTCGTCGTTTGAGGACACGCTGGTGTTGGCGTACCATGCATTGAAGAAACACAGTGATGCCACAGGAGTTGAGCTCCAGGCATTTCAACAGCTCCTCCATCTTCTCTGCGAAGACATTCCGTGCGCTCCGAATGCCAAGCTCGTGCAGTACTTGGCGCCTGCGGATGCATCGCCCTCGGTGTCGTACGCCAAGTTCAAACACGCAATTGACGTGTGCCTCTTGTACGGCGAGGTCATTTCAGAAGGAGAAGACCTGTTTCAGTCGATTGACGCCGCCAATGCGGGTGAAATCAAGACCTCTGTGCTGATCTCTGCGCTGGAAATCGCGGGGGCGAGCAAGACCACGACTACAATCGTCCAGCTCGTCGGCCACGTGCGCGCAGTGCTCGAACGCGTCACATCCAACGACGCAAACGCGTCCATTTCCCTCGGCATGTTTTTAGCAACTGTCGCGCAGGTTGTGTTGCCCATTGCCTTTTGTTAACATCATGTCGTGGCTTCCAACCACAGCAGCAGTAGCTGCTGCAAACCCATCCAGTCGCATCGGCAAACACGGAGTGCATCTCAACGTCGTAGTCGCGGCTCTGTCGCCAGAGTCTGCTTTGAACGAACCAATTCTACTATTCTTTTAAACCATGTCGGAGTGAGCGACAGGAGCTCGGTGACAAAGCATTGTCGATGGAAGGCCCTACTTTAAGTTAACTGTCCATGTCGAGGGCGTCCAGGTGGGCCAGCGACTCTTTGAGTTGCTTCAACTGAGCGCGATACCCACTGCACTCCAAATGCAACTTGGAATTTTCCGCGCGCAACGTTCGAATCTCCTTGACGAGGACTTTTTTCTGACCCTGTCGTGTCCACTGAGTCGATTTCATTGCCAGAGTGGCCAAACCTTGGCTTGCCGCTCGACAGCTTCCTTCTCCGCGGTTAGGCACCGCATCATGTCCTCTAGCACCTGCGCAAGTTTGTTCACGGAAGCACTCTATGTCGACGTACTTGAGATTTAGCGTCGTGTTGTTGGCGCAGGTGTTCCAGTTCGTACTTGGCTTCTTGGTTTTGCGTTACGTAGAGCTGAAGAACTTCGTCGGCGTCTTGCGACTTGGCATCGAGGTAAGCCATGACTTCGCGATCCAAGTTGGATTGCGCGTCCGCCAGCGCCTGGGCACACACGCAAGGTCAGGTCGTCCCGTGCGGCGGAACACTGGCTGTGGGACCTTGTCTTCGATGGCGAGCGCCAACGCATCCTCGACGTCCTATCGAAGGATGCATTTAGTTGTGAAGGTCAAGGCAGTGCATGGATTACGGTGAGCTTCTCCATCAAGAAATCGCGAACGTTTTCCGCCCCTTGCAACCGTGCTGCCAGGTCTTCCTTTTCGGCTTGAAGTGCCGTCAAGTGCTTCTACAATTCCCATCCAAGCTGGGTCGTCGGATAAATTGGCGGCCGCCGCAGCTACCTCCAACGTCTTCATGCGAATCATCAAGTCGTGGAAAAATTTCATTTCCTTTGCATTGAAGGACTTGATCATGTCGTCTGCCCGTGCCAGCTACACCAGACGGATCCTGTGGCTGCTGTTGGGCCCTAAAGAAGCATTTTACCTGCGACTTGTCCAAAGCTGGCACGGGGCGAAGCGATGGCTTAACATTCAGCGGTTTTGGAATCGTGGGGGGTAGTGCCGTGCGGCGCTGCAGCTTTTCTTTTTTCAACCCAAACATGACCTGCTCCAAACATTAGGCCAGCGAAGCTGGTACGACAACTGGTTACATGTATTCGTGACTTCCACGCTTTGGAAGTCAAGCTCATGGCGAGTACATCCATGGCATCTACGTTTGAGAAAATGTTGAGCAGCGTCGCGTCCGACAGGGATGCCAGCCCCGTTGGCGTCGATGTCGGGTCGTGGTTTGGTGGAGGTCCAGCCTTCTCTTGCTGTAGACGTTTCACAATAGCTGTGAAGAAGCCGTAAGAACATGCTAAACTTACGATCGCTGAGGGATTGAGAACGTTCTGAATGCCCAGTCGCCGGTGCAGCTCGCGGACTTCGCGCTGGGAACGGGACAGTTCCCTCGACAACGTAGCATACGACGCGATCTTTTCCTTAGATTCTGCAAGTTCCTTTTCGAGCCTGCTGGTGTGTTAAAATCACGTCGTGATACTGGGTAGCGAACCTTGCTTTGTTGAGCACGTCTTGGGCAACAAGTTCGGCTTCTGTCTTGAGCTTCCGTACGAGAGTTCGCCCTTGTAGTTGCAACAGGTGGACTGTTTGAAGTACCTAACCAAAGTCAACGTCTTGCGCTAAACGCGATCTTTGTACATTTTGCTTCTCGTCCCAGTGGATGCGTTCGGCTATGGCATACTGTGCGAGGGCAGCGTTGGCTTTCTCCAGTTCCGTTGTCAACGCATTGCGCTCCGTCTCGTGTATCCACGTCTCAATGTCGGCAATCATGTCATCTAAGACAGATTTGACGGCCACCACCGTCAACACATCTTCGGTTGCACGCTGGGTATATCCATGGAAGAATGCTTCCAACATGGTTGAGGTCATGCTGCTTGTATCACAAAAATGGGCAAGGACATAGTTCATATAATTGGCTAAAATAAATTGGTTTTCAGCCAAACAAAATGTAATCAGCGTAAGTAGTACTATAAGTATGTCCTAATGTAGCTAGTTATACTAGACAATACTAGACACAATCGACACAACTTGCATCGTTGGCGAGGTGCAAACGACATGAGCGACGTCGCCAAGCCGAGCGTGCCGGTGACGATCCTAACAGGGTTCCTGGGCGCTGGCAAGACAACCCTTCTCAACTATATCCTGACCCAGAACCATGGCAAGCGCATCGCAGTGATCGAGAACGAATTTGGTGAAGAGATTGGGGTGGAAAGTCTTATAGCACGTGTATGTCAAGCACATTGTATTCTCGGGATGCTCATCGAGGATTGGAATCGCACCTATAGGATGGCGCAGAAGGAGAAGCGTTTGCGGATTTCTACGAGTTAAGCAACGGGTGTATTTGCTGCTCCGTGAGAGACGATTTGGTGTCGACGCTCGAAGAACTCTTGACTCGGCGCGATCGCTTCGACTACGTCTTGGTCGAAACAACAGGTGGCGCCTCGCGCGCGGGGTATATTCAGTGGCAATTTCACATCTTCTCTAGGCATGGCGGACCCTGGGAAGCTTGCATCCATGTTTTGGGTCGACAACGAACTCGAAGGCCGCATCACTTTAGACGGCATCGTGACGCTCGTGGACGCGAAAAACATTGCGTGGCACTTGGAGCAAAAAACGAACGAAGTGATGTCCCAGATCGCATATGCCGATCGCATCCTCATCAACAAAGCCGACCAAATGCCGCAGGACGAGGACCGACGCCGCCTCGAGCAGCAGCTTGGGGTTACGAATGCCCTCGCTCCGTGCTAGTACGTCGTCCTTCTTGACCTGCATATGACCAGGACTTGACCTGATGTGTCTCACGATGAGCAGCTGGACAGAGCGGTCGCATGTGGATTTGGATGCGATTCTGAATATCCAGGCCTTTTCGGGGGATCGTGCAATGGCCGTTCTGAACGAGCAGAGCGTCGAGGTTCGCGATCATGTCATGCCTTTAAAAATTTGGATTGAGCCCAGTGGTGGTGTAGAAGGCTTTTCCACACACAAACAGCGTGTCGAGCACGTGCATCCGCCGAGAACTTCCCCTGACGGTTCGGGCTCTAGAGCATTGGATCGGAACGCTGCTTTGGGAGCCCGAGACCGACGGCACGCGCATCTTTCGCATCAAGGGAATCGTGTCCGTCGCGGGCGATGCCTGCAAGTACATTTTACAAGGAGTCCAAGACCTTTTTGACGTGACTGCGAGTGAAGCATGGGCACCAGATGAACCACGTACCACCAAACTCGTCTTCATCGGGATGGGATTGAACCCGCAAGCGTTGCAGCAAGGGTTGGATGCGTGCGCCGCAGAATAACGCTGTAAATGGTACATCCTGAGCGTGAAAGTGAATCCAGCGCAGTTGTTCACCCAACTCGATCGGTGCTTGGACTCGAAACGTTTTTGGAAGGCAGCGAGCGGCAACGGACTTGCCCAAGTCGATGCGTTGGGAGCCCTGGAGTGAGACACCAATGTCGATACTATCGACCTGAACGAGGTGGTATCGACGAGTCCAAACAACAAGCGGATCTGGACCAAAGAGATCGCGGTCATTCCCACCTCGACTTGTTGGCGAGCTTTCCGCGAATCATGGACATGGCGGCCGCGCTTTCTTTGCCCGCTTGCTGTGACGAGTTCAGGGACCATGAGAACCATTGGGTTCATGGTAGAATGACCGATGCCACATTCCAGTCGAGTGCTAGCCATTTTTCGAGCGTCGACGCCACCAAGTTCCATCAAAGCTTGTTTCACCACTCATCCAGTTCCAAGCGTTCATGACATCGTCGGCGTGC